CATGTTAACAGCTGTAACCCTACTTTTGCCCCATCCTGACTATTCATTTAATTATAAGTTTAGACCTTCTTCAAATTAAATAAAAAAGATTTTTAGATTCTTACCCCTGTTGGGAATTATAATTAGAAACAAAATCTTCTCCCAACCCAGAAATTCTTTTCACAAAGGTATGGGAAAAAGAAAACACTTTTATTATTGAATAAGCATTGAACCAAAGTGTGGTGTGCATCTCAGACAGTTCACTAAAGGTTTCAGCTACAGAAAGGAATCTCATCCCCTTAGATAGCCAAGGTGATAGAACCTATTATATACACGTTTTCAAGATACACAATAACTAATCCTAAAGTAAGAGGCTTCACAACACAGTATGTCCCACCTATTGTTCATCCTGACTTTACCTGTTAAGAGGGAGACCACTTATGTTAGCTAATTGGCCTGATCCAGAGGAGACAAGAACTTCTCTTATCTGTATGAAAGGAGGTTAGTTTTGCAGCTTAAAGCAGGCGCCCACCCAAGTTAGGAATCTGCCGCATCACAGAAATTGGGAGGTGGGGCTCCATCTCCTCTGTTGATGCTTTCATTTCAGAGAAATGGTTCCCAGGTCCTAGAGAAAGACCTAGAGAATAGAGTGGGACATAAATCTGACAGAAAAAGGCTTATTTTATTTCCAAAAGTATACGTGTGTGTGTGTGTGTATGAATTCACACACCTAAAAACATTTTAGAGAGCAGTAACTGCTTACAGTTTTTCTAAAATAAATGCTCTAAAGGAGAGGAGGAAAATTTTTTTCTTTAAATAGGGATACTTAAGCTTCTTATTTTTAATTTATATTTGCCCTTTTATTGTTACTGTATTTGCTTCTATCTTAAATATAAGGACGTCGATCTTGTTAATTCTGTAGTAGCACTGTGATAAATGTAAATGACTTTAATTGCATTTGTAATTTGGTTTTACTCCAATTAAAACTAAATCAAAATTTAATTTTATTGAATGCCAAAATTTTAATCTGTTCATTCTACATAAAAAGTAGAGTTTCTTAAAAGTGGGTTACTGGTGTTAGGAATTCACCATAACATAATGTGACTAAATCTGCATTTTAATTGCTTCTGGACAGCCTGCGATGTTGGACAACTCACAACCCTGACACCAGGAAAGAAATGAGATCCATATAACCCTAAGCAGAGAGTTGGGTAAAGAATCTTCTAGGGAGAAGAAATAGTATTTGTTTTCAGAGACCAGAAGTTAAAAGTTTAAATTTTCTTTATTGTTCCTCAACAAAATCAGGGGCAGGTACAATCTGATCATCATTTTTATAATGGTAAATTGCATAATTCTGTTTAGAGAATTAGGAACTAGCTAAGGGTTACTCATATCTTGACTTGCTTCTAGCCACCACCCCCTTCAAACTTCATACCTTTCCCTCTTCATGTTGAGTGGCCCCTAACTGCAGGCGAGTTCCCTGCGTGTTACTGTGGGGTGCTCCTGCGTCCTTCCACCATCTCTGTGATGCCTTATCAGCAGATGCTGAGCTCCACTTTCTGCATCTACTGTGCTCAATGTGTGCTCTCAGAGATTGAGTTTTAGAGCAGTCACTCCTTCCATAGAGGCCTGAGGGACCCTTGGTGATTTCACCTTTGCTGTACTGTGACATTGCATACCTTCTTGGCTCCTTGGGAGTTACTTTCTCCCTTTCTACTCTTCTGGAGTCTCACTCATTTCACAGTGTCTGGCTGCTGACCGTTACTGTATAGGCCATAGGCCACATAGTCATCTTGACCAGTCTGGCCTAGTGACTGCAGTGGTCACACGCTTTGATCCTCCCTGACCAGTATATGTTATATAGTCCTTATTCCTCCTTGAAAGAAGGTTGCTCCCACTGTTTTAAATCCACCTCTGGACTTAGGTGAAAAGCAATAGCTGCCTAGCAGATTGTTGTTAGGAAACTTCAGCCTTTTCTCTCTTCCCTGCCTCTCTACTACCTAGGAGGGGTTTTGTTTTGTTTTATTTTTAGAATATCACTTGCTACCAATCTCTCAAACATCAGTGTGCTGACTTGAGAACAGCCTTTGATTCTTCCCTGTGCACTATGTGCAAAGAATACCGGTGTTTAGAATGGTGGAACCATAACTCTGCAGCGTTTGTGATTTTCCTGCCAGGACTCTGCATAGAAGTGAGAATTGAAAACTAATTACATAAATCACTAAGCTTTGAAAGTTTCTTTTTTTAGCATTTCTGCCTCTAGGATATGTATTCCACAAAGAGGACCTTGTGACTAGCAAGAAATTAGATAGAAATATGATTAATAAGAAAGCTACCATATTTTGTCATGCACAGTGCTCACTTTTTGCCCAAATTTTTAGGGGGAAAAATAAGGATGCACATTATACATAGGTATGATGATTACATACCATGGGTATAATAATCCCACATATAATGCATACAAGAACATGGTGCACATTATATATGGCAAAATATGGTATCCCCACGCTTTAACATTAAACAGATCTCAGGATTTTTTGAACTACAAGCCTTCAACTAGATGCTCATTGCAAAGTAAACTAAATGTCTCATGCCACCAGTTATTTTAAGAGAGATGAAGTGAATTTGAATTTAAAGATAACGTCTAACACTAGGAAAATTCTGGTTTTTTTTTTCTCATTGCGATTTAAAAAGTCTCATCTGTGTTATATGTAGTTTAACTGGTACTAATCATGTTCTTAACTGTTTCCGATCTTTTCCTCTTATATGGCTCTCAAGCCTTACCAACTTATCTCATGCAGGAAGCCTTACTCTAGGCCTCAGAGTTGTTTCATTGCCAGAGTGGGTCATGGGTGGTTGGCTGTTCATTGATGTTCACGATGCCTGTGGAATCAGCACCATTGTGTATGGACACTGGGATCTAGAGTGTTCCCTTATCACAGCATGGCGGCTGCTGACTCAGTTTATGGTACTCTAGAAACCCACAGAACATTCTTGAAGATGCCCTGCTGGGAACTGCCTAGGTGTTTCCTCGGTGCGTTACTTGGGTGGACCTCTCGGAGGACCCAGATGTGTGAGCTGTAATGCCTGCAGTTGTGCTTATCACAGAGCTGGCACACTGGGTGATTAATAGACAACAGTTTTTTATTTTGGAGTCATTTTCATCGGCAGATGCCCTGAAGGATTCAAAGCTTCCTCACTGTGAGTGAGGAATGTCCTCATTGCTTACTCAGCTCCTGCTTTTCTATTCATTGTGCTGATATCTTGGGAAAAAATTTGAGTACCAAATCAAAAGTAAAATCTAAGCAGTATTTTTCACCCAGAATTTCAAATAGGACATTTAACTATGACCTGTTCTCAGATTCCTCTGATGATTTGGGTGTGTGTGTCTTTGTGTAGCTGGGGGGGAAAGGGGGTGAAGAGATTGAAGACCAGAAGTTTGGCATTCAGTCGTACTCATAAATAGCTTTAATAAATTCAGATACATTTTTGGTTGATCGTGTGTGTAGAAGTTAGTTGCTGAAAATTCAAATAGAAATATGTGCAGGGAGGCAACAGAGATCACATGGCAGTGAGTCAGGAGAGGCCGATGGAGATAAGTTTGATGGTTGATAGAGGATCACAAGGGTGGCAAGAGGAAGAAGAGGAAATTAGATTTTGACAATGGAAACTTTGCGAAGATTTGTGATGTGATCAGTGGTAGCTGTTCTTGGAACTCCAAGTTGTGTTCAGTAATGCTGGGGGCACAGAGCACCGTAGGAATGGGTGGGAAAATGGGAACGTGGCCCAGATAAAGAAACTCCTGAGCCCTGTCTGTCAAATGGGAATAAGTATGTCCATGTATGTAGCTCTGGCCAAAGACAGTGTGGAACTAAGCCAAAGGTGATTTTCCATCTTATTCCTCTCATGGCACACATACACGAATTACTAAAATTCAAGGGCACACCAAAAATACATACTACATTTTTTGTTGATATGGCAAAGAATAGGTGTAATTTTCATTCATTCACACTAGATGGCTATTGTTTTGGGTGTTGTTATTTTTTTACTTGACAGTCTAATGAAAAAGAGGTCAGTGCCCCTGATTAAATAGTCAGGTATTGCATGTTTTAAAAACTTGTGGTTTATTGGTTGAAAATTGCTCAGCTAAACAGTAGACTTGTCATATCTTATTTGTTTTATGTCCTATACACAGATATTCTCAATGTCTGCCAATCAGGATAAGCCTAAAAATAATCAAATTCGTATAAAGATACCAGCAACTGTGAAGTGTGAGGGATGAGACCACTTTACTTTATAAAGGACATTTCATTAGTAATACTTCCATGTTACGATGCCATACTGGTATGAACTCAAATTGGGCAGAGTCCCTGTACGTGTAGAGAGTAGAGGAGAAGTTTGAGAATGAACTTAAGGAACCCTTGTCACTTGAGTGACAAAGACGGGGAAACATAGGGGGAGACATTTCTGTCCTGCGGATACTATTGCCCCTGGTGCAGCAGATCACATAGGCTGTGTTTCGTGGTGGTTGAACACCATTGCAGGATATGTGGCTATTTTAACATAACATGTTTTAAAATTTTTATGTGGCTTCTTGGCATTACTGCCATCTACATCACAAGATACAAAGGTTAAAGTATGATAAGTGGCCAAACAGTTAAAATATCTTCCAATAGGGAGCTCAGAATCTTGAAAAAAACTAATTTATGGTGCTTCAATTTAAGTTATAGAAGATTGAAAATTTTAATCATTTGGAGAATATACATGGACAACAATGAAAGCATTTTTTTTGGTTGAGTTTTAGTGAATGTAAGTATTATGAAGTAATAAACAAATGGAACTTATTTTTGAGAACTTGTCTATGTGTTTGGAAAACAAAAATAGTTTTGATATAAAACAAAACTGAACTGTAAGAGACAGAAAAAGAGAAATAAAATGTGTGTGTGTCTGTGTTGGGAGTTAGATATGCATGTGATGAGGTTAAAATTTTCTTATTCTATACTATTTTCCTTTTTTTTTAGGTGCTGGTGAATCTGGGAAAAGTACAATTGTGAAGCAAATGAAGTAAGTAGATTTTTAAAACATATTTGTTTTTTTATGTTTATATGTTACTTCCCATCAGAAGAAATATTTTCTTTTTCATTTTGTCTCATTAGAATCATCCACGAAGCTGGTTATTCGGAAGAGGAATGTAAGCAGTACAAAGCAGTGGTCTACAGCAACACCATTCAGTCAATCATTGCTATCATTAGGGCCATGGGGAGGTTGAAGATCGACTTCGGTGACTCAGCTCGGGCGGTAAGTTGTTAAATTCTTTGGAGTGGGCCTGATGAGTAAAAAGAACAACTTGCATAATAATACCATTCCACAGAACAGATTTATCAGCTATCTCAGGATCATTTTATAAAGGATTCTTAAGGATAGTGAGTGAAATCAGAAGCTTTAGAAGTGAGTGAAATAATAATACACAGATTATATAATCATCCGTTTCTAGGTAGAATAATCTCCGTGTCCATCAGATGATTTGGACAACTCTAACCGTTGCCTTATTTTCTATGTATCATGTGATAATGGGTTCCTCTGTATCACCATAACAATTTTAGTCATTATTACTGAGTTTAGTAAACTGCCTGTACTGGCACTCTTCTTTGAAATTTGCTTTTTATAATTTGTAATGCTGAAATGATCTAATTACTTGTATTTGTGCCCAGACTAGAAAGCCATCTAATCTCAAATGAAAACAGAAAAGTTTGCATGTCTTTAGAATAGGAAAACATTGGTTGTTAGGAAATACATGTCAGAACGTCAACGCTAAGGGCGAGGACCTCGGGAGACGCCCTAGTTATCTGTGAAGACGTGGAGCCCAGGAGATGGGGAGAGTGCTGTGAAGGGGTGGGGGGGGGCGCCTGGGCCCCGCAGCTCGTGTTCCGTTTGATTGGAAGTGGCCCTGGCCTCCTTTTCTTCTTTTCACCCACCCTGTTTGCTTGCTGATCTGCTTATTTCATGTTTTGTTTTTTCAGTGTAGTTTTTTTCTTCACTGATTTTTTTTTAATAACTGGTGTAAAACTTGACCTTCTCAGAAAATTTTAACTGAATCTCTTGCTTAATTTTTAACTTTTTGTACAAAGTGGATGTATTATTGTTGCCACAACTACTTTTTTCATAGTTCCTTTGTACTTTTATGTATTTAATACATTTGTGTACCACCTCCCTATTAACACTGTGAAGATATTTTGTCAGAGGCTGTAACTTTTCCTTTTTGTCTTCTTAATGTCTGCTTGACCTTTTTTTAGGGGCTCAATTACTTCTTTGTTTTTCAGGTAGTTTTTAAAGATTTTATTTATCTTTAGAGGGGAAGGGAAGGAGAGAGGGAGAGAAATATCAATGTTTGGTTGCCTCTCCTGGGTCCCCTGCTGGGAACTGGCCTGCAACCCAAGCATGTGCCCTGACCAGGAATCAAACCAGAATCCTTTTGTTCTCAGGTCCGTGCTCAATCCACTGAGCTACATCAGCCAGGGCTCAATTACTTCATAATAGGGGAAAAAATGAATGAAGGCAACATGAGAAAATATACATTGATCTATAAAATAAACATAGTTTAGCTTTTATAAGTTAACCTAGGATTTCTTTATAGGTTGCTGAGCTATATGAATTTTCTAAGCTTTTCCTTCTAAACAAAGATTTAGAAGCTCAGTATAATGAAGTAAAATTTTCAAGTAGATTTTAATACTAATAATAACATTCTTCTAAATTATCATTTATGAAATAATATTTGATCATATCCAGATACTTTGCCTTATCTATCTATTCAGTATGTAACTATTATCATATATTCATTCCACAAATGCTTTTTGTGCTCTTAGCCTTACACAGAATGCAGCTATCCTTAGAGATAAAAGTCACAGAATTTGTATAAATTGTAAAATACACAGACTCCAATTATGATAGTTTAAATCTTTTATCGAGTTCACATGTACAGTATTCCACTTCATATCTTACATGCACTTACAAAGGGAGGTTCTGTAGCCTCAAGGAGGTAATGAAAGGTCAATACAAGCAATTTTTATGAAGTCTTATTTTTTAATTTTTCTCTCAAAACTTGCCATTTTCTGCTTTTTACGGGGAAAACCATAACTCTTTCTGGGCTGTAGCTGTACCCTAGTAACTGTTTACCTTCAGCCTATTCTGTGTACTGTAGCCATTGTTATTAACATCTTTGTGCAAATGTATTTGTGCTCCCACTTTGGGTTTGAACAGTTTCCTCTCTGTTTTGTTGACTTGCCTCTGCACAGTATCCTTTCAAATACTGTGAGGCTTTTGAAATTGAGCTAAGAAATATAGAGAGGAATAAAACATGTCTAGGGCAGGAAGAAAGGACATTGAAGCTTGATAATGAAACATATGTGAGAATATTCTAGATAAAAACAGGGAAAAATGAAATAGAGACAATATATTAAAAGTGTGAATATGTTTCCATTTTTATAAGTGTTAATTCCTGGAGTATTATCCCTGAATTGAAGTAAAACCTGATATTTTATTTTGATAGGTTCTGCAGATTTGCTTTCAGAAGAAAAGCAGTGTTAATAGTCTTTTCTAGAAATTGTGTATCAGTGTCTGTTGAGTCTCATCAACTTAGATATTATCAAAATTGTAATTTGTAAAAGCTCTTGAGAAAAATACTCCTCTCTTAGTTTTTATTTTCCTGATTTTTAGTGAAGTAGGGAATCTCTTCTTTTTGTATTTTTTTATGAACTCCTCTTAATATTCTTCACTTGATTCTTTTAAATTACTTGTTCTATTCACATTGTTTCTCTTTAAATATTAGAAATATTAAACCCTCTTATATTTTGCAAATATTTCTCAGTATATTCATTTTAGTTTTTTGAAATAGTTTTTTTTTTATTACAGAACTCTTAATCTTTTTTTGCAGTGGATTCTGACTTTTATTTTGTATCTCCTAGATATTTTTCAACTTAAAATTATTTTAAAACTATTCTTATACTTCTAGAATATTTAATTTTATTTCTTTAGATTTATTATCTTCACCCACTTGGAAATGTTATTTGTGTCTCTTGGTAGGTGAGATTATGGGATCTAAGTATATTTTGATCATCTGGTCATCTCTTGCCTTATAACCATTTATTATATACTCCATTTCTTTTTCTATTGTGAAAGACAAATACTATATATACTCCATTTCTTAGTGACATGAAAATTGTGACCATTATCATTGAGTTGGGTGTATATAAGTTGGGCTTCATTGTTTTTTCCTGTTGATTATATTCTCTTCTTTCCTATATCACTCACCTATTATTTATCCTCTATAAGTTGGTCTTATCATATAGTAAGATGGAGATAACAATAACATCTACCTTGGAAGGTTATGAAGAGTAATGACATATCAATTTTTACCACATGTCTTGGTCATAATAGATGTTCAATAAATGTTTGTTGCTGTTATTGTGGTTACTTGTAATAACTGGACCACTATTATAATTTTTGTCTGAATCACATTAGTTTCTATTGCTTTTCAGAATTGATTGGTGTTTGGTAGCATAAGAGCATGTATCCCATTGTTGTTCTTTTATCAAAATATCAAGGTTACTATACATTTCTATTCCAGATAAACTTGAAAATCAACTTCCCCACGTTTTTGTTGAGACAAAACACACAAAAAGCCAGTTGGTATCTTGATTAGAATTACATCTTAATATGTAGGTTAATTGAGAATTGACTAAAAATAATTAAAATTTTAAGAGATGCTGACTAATTTGCTGTGGTTTGCTTTATATTTGTCAATTACCAGATTTGCAAAACATATTACACATTCATCATTTAAAATGAGAGAAAACAAAATTGTTTTTAAGAGTGGCTTAGAGCAATCAAATTTTGTGCCAAATATCCTTTCAAAACTTTCTCAGAATTAGAGTATTAAATCTCTGGGTGATAATGTATTGATAAATGTGAAACTAGGGGAGAATTATGTATGGGTGTATTAATGTGTCCAAGGCACTGCATTGCTTAAAAGTGTTGCTCAGAGTATGGGCCATGGACCAGTTTCTGTCCTTAAGCACAAGATGAGTACAGAAAAGTAAGCATTTACACAGGTTTCTAGCACTGACAAAGTAATTCATACATTAACTGCTAGTTTAAGAAAGTATGTTTATACTCTATGTCATTTCCATTTTATTATTCTAATAGTGATAGTTCTGAAATAGTTTGTAAACAAAAGAAAATAAATAAAAACACAAGACCTGTCCATAATCACAGGTAGTTTGACAAGTACTTACTTGGAATAACTTAGGCTCCACAGAGCAGAAGAACCTTGCCTTGAGTTGACCCAGCTCAACAGCAGATTCTCCCCAGTGCCTCAGCATGTTCCTGCATCATTACCACTTTTCTGGTGCTCCGATTTTGGCCTTTAATTCTTTCCTTAGTTTATGTCTGTCTGCAGGTTTTCCAGATTGCTTTGGAGAAATGTTGTAGCAATTTACCTTCCTAGAAGCAGTTTAGGGCAGGGACTTTTCTTAGCACTCTTAAGTAGTCAGAATTTAGGAGTGTTGCGTTTAAAAAGTACTATGCAATTTGTTAGTAAATTTTATTTCAATTTAACTTACATTTTCAATTTTTAGTATAGTTGTATAGTTTTTTATATTTTTTGACTATAACTTTGTTCCTCTATGTTAGTGCTGTATTTTATTGCTTATTCATTTACCTAGTAGAGCCTTGGTGCTTCTATTATCTATTTGCTAGTTTGGAAGTACATGTGTATTAGCCTCTTCCCCACTAATTTATATTTTCTCTTGCATTTTGCTTGCCCTTAATGTGTTTTTTTTAAATTTTTAAACCTTCCCCTATTATTTCTAGAATTATGTTTAAATTTAGAAACTCTCTGAACCAAAGATTTACAAGATATTCATGTTGTTTTAAAAGTATTTTAGTGGAGTGAATTTTAACATTTCTTGCATTTGTTCTTTAATCCTTCTGAAATTTACTTAGGTATATGTATGGAATAAGGGTCTACATCAGGGTGTCAAACTCATTTTCACCGAGGGCCACATCAGCCTTGTGGTTGCCTGCAAAGGGCCAAAATAATTTTAGGAATGCATAAATGTAACTACTCCTTAACTGTGTTAAGGAGTTGAAATTACATTCAGCCCTTTGAGGGCAACCGTGAGGCTGATGGCTCCAGTGAAAATGAGTTTGACACTTCTGCTCTACATTACTCTTTTCTTCAGATGGCTAATTATTTATTAATGTTCTTGAATAGTCATGTTCTTCTTTACTAGTTTACCTTGCCACCTTTACCTTATCGTATAGTAAGTTTAGATTTAGGATTTTTTCCTTGTTGATCTGCATTAACACCAGACTATTTATGGGCTTTTAATATTAATAATTTTAGCTCTCCTTCTTTGGTAGGCTTTTTCAAAATGTTTCTAGTTATTTCTACTTATTTTTCTTCCAGGTGAGCATTTCATTTTGTTTTCTGGTTTACATTTGAGAACTAAGATGACATAGGATTATATTGTTTTTGATTCTCAGAAATATTGACTTATGTATGTGGCAAATTGATACTTTCATTTGAAATGTAACATGTGCCTCTAACACAGTATTTTTCTTTTTTTGTAAGTTTTTTTTGTTTGTTTTTAAAACATTTTATTTATTTATTTTTAGAGAGGGAAAGGGAAGGAGAAAGAGAGGGAGAGAAACATCAATGTGTGGTTGCCTCTCATGTGTCCCTCCTATGGGTTCCCCCTGGGAACCTGGCCTGCAACCCAGGCATGTGCCCTGACTGGGAATCGAACCAGCAACCCTTTGTTTCACAGTCCCGTGCTCAATCCACTGAGCTGCACCAGCCAGGGCACACTATTTTTCTATTTCCTGCAGTTCATGTATTGATTATCACATTTCTGTATCTCTTTTAACAGCCGATTCAATTGTCTATATAAAGAATACTTCAACATTATTTATTTTATTAAGGGAAAATAAAAATATACATTTACAAGATTCATAAATATATACGTAAAAGTTGTATTCGAGTAACATATTTATTGTGATTTCTCTCCCTTACATAATGAAGCTGATACTCACTGCAATTTAGTTAGAATTTTTACCACCCGCAATTTAGTTAAAATTAACTTAGATTATTTTAGTTTCAGGCTTTTCACCCCTTTTAAGCAGTGCTGTGGGAAAGCAGGAAAATGACTTCCTATTTCCTTGCTTCACTTTTTGTTTTGATTACATTCGTGTCTTTAGAAAAAAGCATTTTACACTAATGTATGTCTTAGGCAAAGTAGTCCTCTAATGTCTGGGATTGTCACTGTGAATTGGCGACTCCTCTAAAGTTCTCAGGATTTACTTAAGGCGCACTAACTTTGAAGAAAGCAGATAGCTGTTTTCCTATGTGTTGTCCAGGATCAATGAAATAATTGAGTTCAGCCATTAAAAGAAATGATTCGCTCACATATATCAATCATGACATCAGTATATCATCCTGTGTCCAGAAATTCAGGGGTGTCACTATTTTTTAAGACTATCATCTTATTTTTCAATTTCTGTTGTAGAAATGCTTTCTGGTGTTTTCTATTTAAACTCTTGATCTCGTTAATAAATCTGTCTGCTATATTACAAGAGAAAATCATTAGGCCTGTGTTTAAAAACAGCTCTCTCCCTCCCCTCCTTTGTTTCAGATAGCTTTCCTTGTTCAGTGTTCTTACGGAATTGAAATCTGGTATCTTTTGCTTCTCACTTTCAATGATCTTTATTTAATATGTCAGAAGACAGCCATCACGGTCCTTCAAAGTCTCTCTTCCCCATCCTGGGCAGACTCTTCTGAATTCTTATAAAGTGCGTAACAGCTTCAGATAAGACGTAGTGTCACTAACTAAATACAATGTGTCAAGCGTTCCCTGACCATCAGTGTGAATAGAGGCCATCTTATGTCTCTTGACATGCCAGCATTTTCTATTTCTTTTGCTGCATTTCCAAAGTATGCCATTATACAAACTGGAACTTACATTCTCTAAACTACCTGATTTTCCTTTAGTTCTTAGTAATTTGAAAACATTTACTTGGCTACATCCAAGGATGTTTCGTGGCTACTCACAGTCGCCTGGCAAGTAACATGTCTTTTTAACATCACAGATAAGTCCCCATAAACAACTTCACTAACCTATAGCCCTTCTGACTCAATTTTACTACTTTTCTTCAATAATCCCTATTCTTTTTCTGCCCTGTGTTACACTGTTTTGGTATACTCTTGTTTATCTTCATAAGTATTTCTAAAGTACTTTCCTGATTAAATTTATTACCTTAGCACTCATCTATAAATATCTAAATGTCCTGCTAATGACATGGAAATGAATATTTATAATTAGTTTGTCAAGGGAAGGAGACTACATTTTATGAAGAAGAGACATTTTTGAATGTCACAGGGAGTCTGGCTCATCAGCACAGCTTACTGAGTTCCTCGTGTCTTTTCTCTAGGCCTCTTCCTAGGAAGTGTGAAGAGAATGTGATTTTAGAACCCATGCCAGAGGATATTAGTCTTTTCTATCAAGAAATTGTCTTGCAGTTGAATAAAATATGTCATAATGAAAGCTCCTGTAAAGACTCACTGAGTGAAAAGTAATTGTCTAAAATAGAAGGAAAAATTGTTTGATGTTTAATAAAAATCGCCAAATTTAGAAATTTCTCATATATATGTAATTATTAGGAAAAGTGAATAACTGTTTACTGGAATTAGTAAATAGTGCTAAGAATGACTTGAAACCATGTTATGTCAGGGTGTATCACATGACGTGTGTTGCTTACATTCATTTCTCTTGTGATTTACTAAAAAATGAAACATGCTCTACTAATATGTTCCCATGCTGAGAGACTTCATGATTTTTCATGATGGTTCCATCTGAAAATACTTCCCAAATTGGCAGCAAAATGAATTTATATTGTCAGCTAGTACGCGCTGCTACTCTGTGTCACCAAATTCTCTTCTATACACCTTATCATAATGTGCTCCATCACTTTATAACCATTTACTATAATACTCTGAAAAAATGTCCTCTGAGAAAAATTAGGGACCCTCTACCCCGTTAACATAGAGCTGTGTGTCTTGGGCTAAGGAGAATCTGTGAAGGTAGTAACTTCACACCTCCCCTGTTTTTGGATTAACCATGGCGTGTCCCAAAGACCAGAGTTCTGTTATCCAACACTGTCGCTGCTGCTCACACGTGTCTGCCTATTGAGTATCTGAAAAGTGTCTTGTCTAAATTGACTAGATGTGTATGAAAAGAATATGAAGTGCCTCAATAATTTTATACTGATAACATGTTGAAATGATACGTATAGATTAAATAAAATATAATATCAAATTAACTTTTTTCACTTAAATGTGACTGTTGGAAAACTTGGATTTTCATCAGCGGCTCATGATACATTTCCTTCGGACAGCACTGGCCCAGCGTTCTTGATTACCCGTGGACAAAGAATAACTGTACATATTTGTAATCTTGCATTTTAAGGACATTTAATTAACTCTGTATACATAGTATTTACTTAAATTATTTTGCATTCTGTTTCTATATACATCATGATTGTTTGCATTCCAGAGCTGTGCTTATTTCCTGGACCTGCATAAGCAAACACCTGCCCTGACCTCCCGGCCCATTGGTTTTAATGGATGGTAGTCTTCTTTTATCCAATGAGGACACTTTTCAAGACCCCCAGTGGATACTTGAAATTGTGAATAGTATCAAACGCTGTTTATACTATGTTTTTCCAATGCATATGTACTTAAGATAAAGTTTAGCATATATTAGGTACAGTAAGAGATTGACAACAATAATTAGTAACAAAATAGAATTATTATATCAGTATACTGTATTAAAAGTTATATGAGTGTGGTCTCTTTCTCTACCTCTCAAAATCTTATTGTGCTGTTCTCACCCTTCTTGTGATGCTGTGAGAGATAAAATGCCCGTGTGTTGAGAAGTGAGGTGAGTGACACAGGCATTGTGATGCAGCCTTAGGCTACTACTGACCCGATGATGTTTCAGGAGGATCGTCTGCGTCAGGTGGTCCTGGGTCATGCAGCCGTGACAGTGTCAGTGCATGGGAAGAATTTAGTATTTGCAGGCCACAGCTGACCCTGGTAACTGAAACTGCAGATGAGGGACACTACTGTGTACGTGCTTTAATGTATTCTGAAAATCTCAGGTCATTCCATGAAGTCATTTTTGCTGACTCCATACCAATTTTCCCTTCTCTGAACTTATTTTGCTTCTGTAAATATCAGAAAGCTAACATTTAATTAGATTCCATATTAAAATAATCTCTAACAGTGTGAATGTATTTCTTAGACACTTTTTGGGAGGGGTAGCAAAGCATACATTCTTCTGTTTTCTCAAAAGTGATACTTTTTTAAAAAATATTTTATTTATTTATTTTTAAATAGAGAGGAAGGGAAGGTGAAAGAGTGGGAGAGAAGCATCAATGTGTGGTTGCCTCTCATGAGTCCCCTACTGGGAACTTGGCCTGCAACCCAGGCATGTGCCCTGACTGGGAATCGAACCGGCAACCCTTTGCTTCACAAGCCCATGCTCAGTCCACTGAGCTACACCAGCCAGCGCAAAAGTGATCATCTTTAGTGTACAACAGACCATCAGTGAGTGAGTGGTTAATAACTGTGAGGATGTCATACTTCCAGCTCCCTAGTGCCTTGATAACTGGCACAAAACCACAGAATGTGCTCTCATGATTTAAGATTATGCTCTTTTGGATGAGCCCACGTTTTAAAGTGGTGTGTTAGAGCGGGAAAAAAATTATTCTTGCCTTGGTTAGGTGGTTCATTTGGTGAGAGCATCATCCCGATATACCAAAACTGTGTGTTTATCCCTGATCAGGGCACATACAAGAATCAACCAATAAATGCATAAATAAGTGTAACTACAAATTGATGTTTCTCTCTCTTTTCCTCTCTCTCTCTAAAAATCAGTAAATAAAAATGTTAAAAAAGGAAATCCACTTTATTTGCACTTTTTGTTATCTATTAATGCCCACTTTGTACTTTTTATCTGTAAAGTATCTTTTTTTTTACTTCTTTTTTAATGGTCCTTGAATGTTCAGGATGATGCCCGTCAACTCTTTGTGCTTGCTGGAGCTGCTGAAGAAGGTTTCATGACTGCAGAACTTGCTGGGGTTATAAAGAGATTGTGGAAAGACACTGGTGTACAAGCCTGTTTCAACAGATCCCGGGAGTACCAGCTTAATGATTCTGCAGCATAGTAAGTAATCATATCTTCAGAACTAAACTATCATGAATAATTACTTGCAAGGCAAATATACCTCCAAGTCAATTTTATTGCAGAATTGGCTGACACGTTCTTACACTGTTCAGGATATTCATAGTGACAGCGTTTTAAAACTCTTTTCTATATTTTTGCAGAGAGCAATGTTGTTATTTCTTTTGTGTTCAGAAGTATCTCAAGAGACTCATGCTTTGCGTAACTCTAACTGAAACATGTAGAATGGGACTGTTGCCAGTATACTTCCAAGAAAGTAATTGGAACTTCCCGTAGTTCAATCTGAATGTGGGTGTATCTCTACTTTGCCTGGGACTAGCCAAAGGGGAGGGTAACTGATTTGGGTTATTTTTGTGTTACTAATGGTGCCTGAGAAGAGTTACTTGTCTAGTAACAGGCCCCTTGAATAACGTGCACCCCCTTTGAAGGGACACATGGTGATTCCAAGATATTTTCTCACTGAGTAAAATAGCTCTCCACTTGAAAATTGTGATTTGTATGTACCCTTTTGCACTAGATGTTGCTTACAGATACCTAAGTAGTTTTCTGGTAGAAAAGTTTGCCCTGATTTTCCAGATGGTGGTCCAGAAAGCTTGTAGAGCAAGTTGAGACAGAACCTAGTTGGGTAGCATTCTGTTTAGTGATCTACGTAGAATAAAAAATCATTGGTTTACATAATTGGCACACATACTCAAAAATGTTGGGTATAATATGAATAGCATTAATTGGCCTTAAAACATCTATGGCCATACCACCCTGAACACGCCTGATCTTGTCTAATTGGCCTTAAAATATGTGCTGTGCATTCACTTTACCCTCCCAAGTTTGTTCCATTTTCTTGGCAGAGCTTTTGGCTCTTAGGAACACAGGTGGGCATTAGATTGACAGTAACAAGCATTAAAGGGTCTGTGTAAGTATACATTTTTTGCCACAGTGAAAAACATGACTGTGCTTAGTATGTAGTGTGTCATTTATTGCACATCAGAGTGCCCAGTGTGTGTTACGTGAATGATCCAGTGTGAATGATAACATTTCTTACCGAATGAATATGTAGCCCATCTCTTCAACTAGTGTCACTTCCACTAAGAAATAGTCCTTGACTCATTGAGTAGCTCCTTGACTCCTTGTTTTATGTGCTCATAACATGATATGTTTTCTTTCATAATGCTCACAGATTTGCATTTATTTTGAATTCATATAATTTTTACTTATATTAAGACTATTTGATTATTTTCAATCTCTGCCACTATACTGTAAATTCATTAAAGTCCATTTTGTCCAGTGTTCTATCCCTGTTGCCTGACTCAGCCATCACTCAGTATGCCCTCGCTTAGTAATGAATGAGTTAATAAACCAGACTTTACAGAGCTGGAAGAGAAATTGAAGGAAAATTACTTAGAGCAAGAACACAACTCTTTGACCATCGTAATATTGCTTTGGCACCACAAGTACCTGCAGGACAGTGTAAATGAGAATCACTATTAAGGCGAGAAGGTTGCTCTGAGCTGAGGCCAGCAAGAGGAGCTATTTCGGTAATTTAAGGGACAGTAGATTAAAATATGTTGCCCCATCTGGGGTGGTCTTCCTGGATTCCTCATTCCTTAGTCTATTTACCAAGACCCTCTCTTGTGTACAATGCTTAGACATGATTAGACATGAAGGAGAAAAATACAGGGTCCAGCAGAAGTAATGCCTGCGTGTGTTTGGTAGGGTAGTAATATGGTTTAATAATTTAGAGTTTTAATTTGAACATTTCACCTAAAATGTCATATGGTGTGCTTGTGTGTGATGTTGTTATGCTACAGGGTTATACGCTTACGGTTTTGTAATAAAAAGGAGCATTGTTTGTTCTGGACCTTGTATATTGCTTTGACTCCCCAGTATTTCATTACTGGTGGTTCTGACCTCAGATAATGGAGTCGTTTTTCAAGAATGAAGAGAGTCATAGGAATCTTTTTCTTCGTGGTGAGTGGGGGGGTGGCATTTGTATTTCTCAGTTTTTGACTGGAGGTGGGGGATGCTGCAAAGTTGCCTGTTAAGACTAACCACCACCAATTTACACTTTAAATTTCTGAACGTTTAAAACAATTGGAATTTTTCACAGTGCTGTTTTTGTCTTGTTGAAATAGAAATGAGCATTATGTTTAGACTATTACAATTATAGCAGTTTTAAGCAAAGAAATATACTTAGGAACAATCAGGAAAATTTTAAATAAAGTAGCTTCATATTTCATAGGGACAGTTAGTAAAATCTTGTCATAAACTTTAGTTTGTTTATTCAGACTTTTCTACAATAAGGTACAATGTTATATATATGGAATTTAAAAAAATTCTTGCTTTTGAAAAATAATTATTGAATATAAACAAATGTCTTACACATTAAATATCAAGAAATATTCATTACCGATTACAAGTAAGGCTGTAATACTGAATTTAAAATATAGATAAAGTACTGAGGGATTATCACCAATGCAATAAAAGATAATAAGATTCTTTTAAATTAAGTGCGATACAAATAATTCAAGCTATCATCTCTCTGTGTATTCTTGTATATCAACACCAGATACATGTACTTAACTGTCTAAAACATTTTTGTTACTAGTTCAGTGTTTGGGTAATTTTACAGGTTTATCCCCAATGAATCAAATATTTTTAAAGCTCTTTTTGTTTGAAAGACCCCTTCCTTCTAAATGGCTAAGGAAGAGTTCCGGAGGATAACATTAATTAAAGTTGCAGTAGGTGGTGCCTCTCTGTACCTAAACTTGTTTTCTAAATTGTCTTTCACTTTCTGCCCCAGTTGCTGCAGAGCACTGCAGGGATCCTCTCCACATTCAGCTGACCTTAGGATTAATTCCAGACTTCTCATTTTAGGTTGCGCATAGCCTATCAGTGGCCTTATTTTCTGAGAAACAAGATGTGACTACTCCTGCCCCCATACCGGTTTACTGCTTGTCCCGATGTGAACAGTGTTCCTCTTTTCTGTCCCATCATTCAGATTTCTATTTATACTCCTCACTAGCCACAAATCCTTCTTTAACTACTCAGGTTCACATTGATCTCTGCATATGTGGACTTTCTATAACATGGATTATACTACATAATTTGATGCAAATTATACAAAATAGTTGCATGGTATTTCACCACCATATTTTTATATTAACATATTTGGCATTGTTGGCAGAGAGTATTGAATGAGTGATTAAAATCAGTAAAAAGTAAAATTTGAATATTGATTTAGGAAGCCAGTAAAATTCAGAGTAAAGGGTTACATGTAGTGTTTTCCTATATATAACTGAAGGCTGGTTGAAAGGGAACAACATTGAATTTAGCTTTTGGCCAGAGGTTTCCCCACTGTCTGCTCAAAAACTAACTTTTTAAATCCATAGCACTACATCAAAAAAAAAAGAAAAAATTTTTAAAAAGAAACACATGGTGTGCAGTTTATTTAGATACTTTTGAAGAAGTTACTATTGGTCTGTTTTCATTGCCAACAAGGAGAATTACTAATTACTGTCCTCCAGGAACAAAGTACATAACATTTAAAAAATGTTCTAAGAGTTTTGTGGCTGGAGAAGTATAAGCACGTTCATGTCAGTCAGTGGGGAGTCATGTAAGATGCAAACTTAAGTTGGTTGTATTACATCATTACATAAAATATAAAGACTTCCAGTACTTGGAATATTGCATGTATCAAAATATCTTACTCTGATTTAGATGATCTTTATTGACTGTATTAATACTAGCGTATTGTTTTATCGTTTATGTTTTTAGCTATTTGAACGACTTGGACAGAATAGCACAGCCAAATTACATCCCAACTCAACAAGATGTTCTCAGAACTCGAGTGAAAACTACAGGAATTGTTGAAACCCATTTTACTTTCAAAGATCTTCACTTTAAGTGAGTAACTTCAAAGCATATGATTTATAAGTAAGTCATAAAACACATTGTTTAGGAAAAAGGTTTAATTATAAAAGTTTTAAAAATTTTGGGTTGGAAATTATTTAAAAAATTTTCTCTCCGATGATTGCACAAAAGGGTTTTGGGATGAAAGAGGGCAAGAAACATTTTTAGGAATATATATTTTTATTTGACAACCAATAGCTTTGCCAATTCCTTTTGCCTATATTTTTCACAGTGATTTAAGTAAAAGTGGTTGTTGGCTTTTAGTTCTACATTGCAAATACTGATACTGTATATTTTGGGAAATGTCTGCCATCAATTTTTAGGTAGAAAGATGGGGTTTTACTGGTAGAATATATGTTTATTTAGGGAAATACTAAAATGAAGAGCACCTTTAAAGATTTTTCTTGGAAATTTTTATTCATGCAAACTGATAGATGAAAAATGCTTATTTATTTAGAGTGTACTGACTATTAACTTACTGAGGTCTGAGCAGGGAGGCACTGCATTGTATTGGCCTTCAGAAATGGTGGGATGCTGGAGTTGATTTTGTCTAGTTTGCTCATGTTATAATGAACCAGGTTCCTGGGAGTTTAGGTAAACATTACATTCAAATTTACAGAGCTATGTTTTTCTTTTTCCAATAACAGTTTTCAAAGTATGTCCAATACTGCTAGACTTTGCTTCATTTAACTCTAATGGTCTGAAAAGTAATGATGATGAAGCAGAATTTCTGAAAGCATCTTATAAAAAGGCTCCAAATCAAAGATAAATAAAACAGTAATCATCAGCTCATGGCTTAAAGAAGCTGACAATTACAGGTTGTGGGAAGCATAGTTAAATATATGCAACTATTCCTTTGATTTGCTCCCATATTTTAAATAGACTTGTTATTATCATTTGTCATTAATTTATACCACATTCAGTGGTTCATATAATTGAGTTTTCCAGAAAACGAAAATTTAATTTCAACTTTCCATGGCAGCTGCTCTTCAAAAAACAAACATTGCCCTGCTTCTTAAGCAGAGGTACAGATCGTAATTACTTTATCTGACCTTGTAAACTTTGTGCTTTAACACATGGTACGGTTTTGTATATGCTTTTATTTTCTGTTTTTCTATATTATAAGCTGTCAGTGGACATTTTTATTGGCTATCATTGTCTTATTGAAATCATTTACCTTCCTTTAGTTTGCTTACTAATTCTAGAATATCAAGTGACCAAATTCAGGAATATTAAAGTATCATTTTAAAAGTTTGAGATGCTTTCTCTGAGAACTATTGCCTTTTATCTTAAAATTATGAAGTCATGTTAATTATAAGGAAGTTCACACTGTTAGAATGAGGTTTAAGGTTTGTTTCTTTTTTTTTAATATATTTTATTGATTATGCCATTACAGTTCTATTTCCCCTTAAAACCTAGTGCATCTTAGATTTTGATCGTTTTGCTTTTTACTTATTTATCTCAATTTAAAGACGATGCTCTGCAGCAAACTTAAATTATGTTCAGATAATGGTTTTAATCTAACCATGTACCTCAAAGAGAAAAATGCATGGGTTTTGAGTTACCAAGTTAAGAATTTTAGACCTAGGCTCCTATTATGTAAGCAGGCAAGCTTGGTTAAGATTTTTTTAAAAGATTTTATTTATTTGCCCTGGTTGGTGTAGCTCAGTGGATTGAGCACGGGCTTGTGAACCAAAGGATCGCAGTTCAATTCCCAGTCAGGGCACATGCCCGGGTTGCAGGCCAGTTCCCAGCAGGGGATGCATGAGAGGCAACCATACATTGCTATTTCTCTCCCTCTCTCCTTCCCTTCACCTCTAAAGATAAATAAATAAAATCTTTTTAAAAACCTTAAAATTTATTTATTTATTTAATTTTATGGAGGGAAGGGAGGGAGAAAGAGAGGAAGAGAAATATCAATGTGTTTTTGCCTCTCATGTGTCCCTAACTGGGGACCTGGCCCCCAACCCAGGCATGTGCCCTGATTGGGAATTGAACCAGTGACCATTTGAGTCACAGGCCGGTACTCAGTTCACTGAGCCACACCAGCCAGGGCTGGTTAAGATTCGTATAACAGAGAGTGTTACCATCATGCCTATTGTCAGAAGTTTAAATATAAAATGAGTTGTTTCCTGTGAAGGACATGTTGTAAAAGAGCTTCATACGTGGTAAGAAACAGCGATGGTAAATGTTAAGTCAGTCATTTGGTACTTGAGGCGATCTGACTGTAAATTCACTTTCAGGCTGGTTAGAGTCCCCTTAAATACTCACTTCGGACCATCGTCTTCCTGCTAGCCTGAGTTTCTCGGTTGTCATTTCAGTATTGGGCAGGTACTGGGATCAGTCGTTTCTCACCGCAGTCCCTCCAGAAGTCTGTTCAGTCTGTGCAGGTGAGGTAGAGTGGCACAGGGTGTGTTTAGTTACTGTTTTCACTTGCTGACTTAAACATAGGTTTGTCCAGAACTTCAGATAAACTTGGTCTTATTTTGGATTCGAAAATTCTTTTAAATTACTATCATTGCTAACATAGGGTTCCAGATGTGCTTTTTATATGTTAAATAAGCTTCAGAAGAATGAGGGCAGAAACGGAATAGTTCTACTGGGAACTCTTGGATGTGGTTATCATGTGTGTGTTTTGTGTTATAATTCATTGTCTAATTTTAACTGCTCATGTAAAATCTGAATTTCACTTCTTTGTGGGATGATTGGAATTAAATCCAGAATGAAGCAATAAGACATTATTCTTTCCGAATTTATCTTACCACTTCTGTGCTAGGCAGGCGTACATGGATTGTTTTGCTTTAAAGAATTAACAGCTTTATTTTACTCTGAAATTTTTGCCAAATACAGAATTAAAGCATCCCTTCTACTATAAAATGATTGTAAGATAAATATCTGTTTATTTTCTGTAGTAACGTAAATGTGTGGTGGGCTTTGCAGTGCGGTTTCGTATTTACAGGGTTGATACCCGTATATGGTCCACCAGCTGTGTACCAGTCAGTCGTGGTCCTAGTGAGAGGCATCAGATGGCAGTCTGAGCATCAGCCAGCAGGCACATCTCAGATCTCCAGTATTTCCTGCCATCTTCCCCCACTCCTCCAAAAAGAGACACCTGAGGAAACTCAAATTCAGTCCCTGTTGGGTGCTAATCAGAAGCCTCATACTTTCATATGAAGAACATATTATCATTTTGTTCTGGTTTTGATTAATTTTTTTAAAAAAAATAGAAGTTTGGAATTTGAAGATAATTGTAATGTATGGGTGAAACAGTGAACAATGCTGTATTCACAACCCTATTGTTTGTAGTATCAGTTCTTAGTCATTTTTGCTCCTTGCTGAAGAATTAGACCAGTGACCCAAAGTGCAGTGCTCGGAGCAGCAGCGTGGGCATCATGCGTCGCCCACTCTGCTGTGCTCTGAAGTTCGACAGGCACCGACCTAGATGACAGGTTCTTTCTTTATGACCAGCGTGTGAATGGTCATCATTTATTTCTAACCTCTGTAAATTGAAGAGATTTCTTCAGTTGTCGGGGACCTAATTTTCAAGTGAAAGCTTTTATATTTAATATTCTAGTAGCATAACTGGAAGACCTGGATCTTTAACATGGTGTAAAGCTAGTCTGTTATTTGAAAGTTTTAAAATATTCCATAGACACAGTGCATTTAGTTACTCAACAAATATTTATGAAGTACATGTGTGTTCCCAGTGTAGGTGGTATAAAATGACTGAAATAAACAAACTTTTTGTCTCTTTGTTGTTAAGCGGAGTGAGATAAATAAATACTTAATATTCAGGAGATGATAACTGCTATAGTGAAAAAGAAAGCAAGGTGAGGGGATGCATTAGTTTCCTAAGGCTGCTGTAACAAACACCACCAAGCCGGCAGCGTAAAGCAGCAGGAGTGTATTCTTCCACAGTTGCGGAGGGCTGGACATTTGCAGGCAGTGTCAGCAGGGCTCTGCTCCTTCCGAGGCTCTAGGAAAGAAACCTCCCTTGCCTCTTCCTAGCTTCTGCTGGTGGTTGGTAGTCCTTGGTATTCTTTGTCTTGCAGCCATATTACTCCATTTTTTGCCCTTTGTCACATGGAGAACGTGTGACCTAGGGCAAAACATTCTCTTCTGTGTGTGTCTGGTTCCTCTTTGCTTAATAGTTTATTCTTCAGTTTTTCTTTTTCCTTTTGCATTTTGCCATAGCAGCAAGGAGAAACAAGGCTGGAGGTTGAACACTTTGCTTGGAAGTTTCCTTAGTGAAATATCCAAGTTCATTTCTTACAAATTCTACCTTACACCCACAACTAGAAAACAGTTAAGCAAGGTTGTTTTTTTTTTTTACCACTTTAAAAAAATAAAAGAATTATCTCCTGTCCAGTGTCTAATTACTTGTTTCTCATTTCCTTCAGAGAATCCTCATAAATATCTCCAACATTCATCCGTTCCCCAACATTGTGTTCATGGTGATACCTAAATTCTCCTAAGATGGAAGTTTTTCTACCACCCTTTTCACTTCCATCTAAGTCTTGTCAAAATCACCTTTCATGTCCATGTTTCCAACCATCATCTTTTCAAGGCAATCTGGGCTTTTTCTGTCAAGTAACTCAAATTCTTCCAGCCTCTACCTATTATTAAATTCCAAAGCTGCTTCCAGTTTTTTGTGTTGGTTAGAGGTCTGCCCCAAAGTACCCAGCCATGTAATATGAAAAATAGAGACTTTTTTTAAGAAGATGCAAGAGATGTTGATGTTCAGTCCCCTTCAAAGTAGGCACCTTGCAACATTCTCACAGTTCTCCCATTTGCCATCAGCTGTCCCATCATATTTTTATGAATCTCATTGATGATCTGAAATGTCTTCCCTTTCAAAGGCGATTTTAGTTTGGGGAGGAGCCAGAAGTCACAGGGTGCCAAACCTGGGCCGTGGGGGAGCTGAGTCAGATAGATATTTTGAAGTTTTGTCAAAAAACTCTGCATGAGATGTGGTGCATGACCAGGTGCATTGTCATGATGAAGCTGCCAATCACCAGTTACCCATTGCTGTGGGCTTCTGAATCATCCAAATAGTTTCCACAGAGGAATGTTCAAGCTTCATGCAAAACTTGATGCAGATTCATTGCTGTACGCAGTCATTTTGGATGTGATGGCCACACAGTACACATGCTCACTCAACACAGTCTACCACCCCCACTGACTAGTACAGTGAATCATCATTGTTCTCACATGCGCATTCCAGTCCACTCTCCTTGGCTGTCAGGTGACATCAATGTCGTGCAAACTGTTCTCATTATATCGAACGATGGCTGGACTTTTCTTGACAGACCTCATATAGCAGCACCCCACTCGGGGTATTAAAATTGTATCAGTCAAGGTTCTCCAGAGAAACAGAACTAGTAGATTGTGTTCATTTCAAGGACTTGGCTCACATGACTGTGGGGCTCACAGGTCCAAAATTTGCAGGATAAGAGAGCAGGCTCTGAGGGAAATGGATCCTGCAGTCTTGAGTCAGAACTCCTTTTCCTTCTGGGAAACCTTAGTTTTTCCTTTTAAGAAAAACCTTAAACCTCCCTTTCAAGGGATTGGACGAGGTCTGCCAACATTGTCCAGCGTAATCTCCTTTACTCAAAGTCAACTGATTATACATGTTAACTACAACTGTAGAACACCTTCGCAGCAGCACCTAGATTCATGTTGGATTAAATAACTAGTGTAATAGCTTAGCCAAATGGACACATAAAATGCACCATCACAGAGTGAAAACGTGGGGTGGTGTCGTTGGTTGTTATTTTATACTGAGTGGTCAGGAACTACATGATGTCTGATCAGAGAGATTATCTAAAATACATTATCTTTTTGGTAAAGTTCTTTCAGATTGTGTTCCTTCACAGTTTAAAAATGTATAATTACTTTAATTAATTTTATTTCTTGTTTGATCTTTATTACCAGCTGTCCTTTTTGTATCTTACACATTTTATTTATCATGTGGTAGAATCATTTTTATATAGCATCCTTAAACCTAACGAACAATTTAGTAGCTAAACCAGTAAAATGAAGGCCACTTAAATGGTGATAAAATTAACAATACTAGTTTATAGGCCAGTACTGCAGAGAAAATTCTTTTTGCTGTGTGAGATTTAAATAGGGACTATTTTAATTAGTGCACCATTTAGATAAATGGAGCCTTTAAAAATGTACCAGTGTGCATAGTGTCTCCATTATATAAGTGGTTATTGCTAGGTTGCATAACATACCCTATGTACATTTCAACTTTTGCTTAACTTAAACTTTTACCAGAAAAAGAGGAAACAATCATTGTCTTTATACTGTTTATGTTGCTACCCTGTACACTAAACAACAATGGTCTACTATTATATAGTGTGTAAAAATAGATTGTTTTTACTGTGAATTTTAAGACTGTTCATTAGGACTACCCATTTACCTCATGTTTCTTCTCATTTTCTTTTATACCCTGGTTTTACTTGTTAATTTAGGCAACCTCTTGCCCCCCGCACCTCACCAAAGATGACTTGCTCGTTCAGCTGTTTCTTACCTGGAATGGTTTCTCCTTCATATTGCCTCAGGGAGAAAACCCCATTTTGTAGTGGGAAGAGGGGACAGTGTCCTCTGCCTCTGTTGTTTTGTGACATTGGCAAATTGACACACTTTATTCTCTCTGTTTCCTAGTTGCTTCGTGTGACTTCCTAGCGTTTACATGTAGTGCAGTTCATTCATATGCAGTTGTCTGTTCTAAGTAGTCTTATATGTTAATATGTTGTTTTTAGGGGTTTTTTTGTTTTGTTTTGTTTTTAGATGCTCTCTCTTTGATAAAAAAAAAATTTCAAATCAGAAGACTTTCTATTTGTGAAAGCCAATTTCTGAAATTGTTTTCCTCCCATAAAGCCCTTTTATCCTTTCTTCCCATCCCACATTCTCTCTGCAATTTTTGCTGAAATTGTGGAAGTCAGAGCTCTGGGACATTCAGTGTAATGTGCAACTCGCTGTGTTTCCTCGTACAGAATGTTTGATGTGGGAGGACAGAGGTCTGAGCGGAAGAAGTGGATCCATTGCTTTGAAGGAGTGACTGCCATCATTTTCTGTGTGGCGCTGAGTGACTATGACCTGGTTCTAGCCGAGGATGAAGAAATGGCAAGTACAACCGCTTTTGAAGATTGAGCATGAAATATGAGACGCTGAAGATGTTGCCAGGGGGTTTTCTGAGAAAAAATTATTGAGAAATTCTTGCTAAATGTTTGAATTATTTGAAAGTTTTGGCTCTTTTCTCTAACTTTTCTGTTTCCATACTAAATGGGAATTATACTAAAGAAGCACAGGTGGATCCTGAGAAAAAGAAAAGAGTTTTAATCTCATCTCAAACCTATGTGCCTAACTATGCATTTTCTATATCTGGTAGTATCTACATACTAAATGGAAATAAAGTTCTTTTCTTACTACTTCTGCCAGCTCCACTCAGTCATCTCTGATCCCTGTTACACATTGCACATCCATGTCGTTTTCAGGTGCATTTCAGTATGTCATGAATCTGCGGGAAATACTTTGAAGTAGAAATACAAAACTCTTGTTGTTTTAAATTTAGTACAAACTGGGAAAATGATAGAAATGTCAGTTTTCTGTTTTTTTAATCATTTATTTGTAGTCACAGTGTAGCAGGTACAGTGCATCAGCATACATCCACTGCTCTGATTTGGACACTGTGAAGTGCATCAGTGCCCTTTTTGAAACCACAGATACTAGAAGGAGGAGTCAGGAGTGGAAGTTTCCTTCCCTAGCATACTTTTATATTCAGGGTGTTGGGCTAACTGAACCTCAGCTTATTCAGTTTTATTTAGTAGCCTTTAAAACCTCCAGTTATCAATTAGTGGAAGTTTCATTAAATTCATTAATATTGAGATATTTTCAAATATTTACGTTTGGCGTGCCTGGGTTGCAAGGTCCCGCAGCAGGAGAGGCCCAGGCCCAGAGACACACAGTGGGCGCTTGGCGAACGCTGGCTGGAGGCCCAGAGTAGCGAGTGATGCAGATGCCGTCTCCCCTAAAACCACAGTGTGCTTGTTCTTTAATGCCAGAAGTGGATTTTTCTAGTATGTTATCTATTTTTAATTAAGCTCTGTTTTGTTATAACATTTGTTATTTCTTAAGTAGTATTTCTCAAAATCCTTGTCATTATGACAAGCTGATTGTATCTTTTCTACTATAGAATCGAATGCATGAAAGCATGAAGTTGTTCGACAGCATATGTAACAACAAATGGTTCACAGAAACATCTATTATACTTTTCCTAAACAAGAAGGATCTCTTCGAAGAAAAAATCAAAAAGAGCCCTCTCACTATATGCTATCCAGAATATGCAGGTAAAAAAAACTTTCTGTAAACAACTGGTCAAGTCAATCATTTCCAAGTGAAAGTTTCCCTATGGCAAGATTTCATTTGTTGATTTGAATGCCCCAGCTTAATAATTCTTACCTTTAAGAGAAATTACTTATCAGACTACATTCAAGCACAAGTAATTACTTGAGGTATGGATTAGGTTACTGAAAATAACATTTATGGAAAAGCTGTTAAGTAATTTTCTGTGATGACTTCGTATCTTCATAAATTGACAATATTGATTTCTTTATCTAGTTAACAGTAACAGATCTTGTGTCAAGTTCTGTTGTGTGATGCACAAGAAATAAGACATGTCTTGTCCCTCGTCCAATCTCAAAGACCAGCGTACTCACAAACAAAGAAACAATGACAGTGCAACATGTTGCTACAAAGTAACATGAACAGTAAACAAAGGGGGGCATGGAACAGAGTTTGTGAATTAGCTAACAACCGAGCAGTCAGGGAATGTCTCACAGGAAATCCATGGGATTCTATTAATTAATGGTACTCTGATTTCACTACTATGGAAGGTGGTCTGCAGTAAAAAAAAAAGAGACGTGAGATACAGTCCTGGCTTTTCCATGATTAGCTCCTTCATCTTGAACAAGACAGTTAATCACCTGGGTCTCACTCCCCCCATCTTTAAAATCAGAAGAGGACTAAAGTATTACGGTGGTTTAGTTTAGCTTTTGCACATTTCCTGGAGTGTTGTTATTGAAAGTGGGAACAAGGAATGGAGCTACGTGTCTCCTCCCCACACACGGACACAACTTCTCTCTCACTGAAACAGAGTAACTTAAGCTTTCATCGGAGTAAGACTTGATTTTAAGGAAGAGAACTGTGCCTTAAAAAAGTTTGACCACCACTGGTTTATAGTATGTTTAAGTCTAAATATTTTGAAGAGTTTGGTTAATTTAGCTAGTTTATACAAGTTATCTCTATCCTTCTTGTTTTAAAATAAGTCTCAAGAATTTGATTATAAACAAAGATTTTGTCTTGTATTGAGTAAATTGTACAATAAGTATTTACTGCCTTTTCATAAGTGATGTTAAAACAGCCCTGTGACCTAAGACAAGACCTAAGTCTATCAAATCATTAACCACCAGTCTAACTTTAATTAAGTTCTCAGTGGAACTGGGGGGTGGGAGGTAGTTCTTCAATAAATATAAGCACATTAATTATTACAGCCCTGCTTTGTATATTGCAAAGGTATACTTTAAATGTTTTCATAGTTTCTTAGTTTAAAACTTTTGTTTTATTTTTGAAAGTCATAGTGTTGTAAGTCACCTTGTTCAGAAGCATTTTAGAGCTTATTAGGAATAAAATTATTTATAGTATTAATTCCAAGATTGAAGTTATCCAGAATCAAGGTGGCTTAGTTTTTGCCCTTACTTTCATCTTTCAGTTTATTTTTGTCACTCTCTATTACGGAGTGGCCGTTTTGTGCTAATATTACCAGAGTACCCAAGTGAATCCATAAATATCACATACCTACAGGGATTTCAGAGCAACAAGGAATAAACTTGTTAGCTCTTTCTTTACCACCTGGTAAAGGAAATTTACATGCGAGAATTTTCCTTATGTTGTCAAGTTAATAGGAATCAGTGACCTCGGAAGTTTGAACAAAGAGATGTCATGTAATTCCCTTATATTCCCAGTGTTGGTGTAATAATTTAATCTTCACTGCATGCCCTAATTATTGACTCAATTGCCTCTTGCTTCAGCCTTAACTCTTAAGTTCTTATGACTCTTGTTTTTTGTAGAAGAACCCGATATAGCCTTCAACCACTCAGCTTATTTCCTTTCTGCATCTCTCTCCTCTTCTTTTTATCTGTATGTTGGCAGTGCACCACATTCCAGCTGCAGATCTGTACTCTTTTACACTCTGTTCTTCCATGGTCTTATTCATTCTCACTATGTTAAACTCTGTTGTCAACTCCAGTTTCTCTCTAGAGCACCGGGCTTACATTTCCAACTACTCTGTTAAGCATGTACATGTATTTTTTAGCACTGGAGACTCAAACTAAGCTAAGTATATTTTGTTTTTCTTCTTTATCTCCCTTTGAATTATATCATCAACCTCCCATACTCCATTTTTAATCATATTATCATCTGTACTTAGCTTTATTTAGGACAGTTCTATCACATGTTAGAAAATACTTATCACATTCTCCCCCAACCCTCATCCTTACCATTCTTAAGATTTAAAGTCAGACTGAGGAATGTGCTTATTAGTTCATTCATAAATCTTATTGCTCTTGGGACAAACCCACTGAGCAACAGTCCAGAAAAAGTCCAGTTCATTGTTAATATAATGAGAACAGTTTGCACAACATCAATATAACCTGGCAGCCAAGGAGTGGACGGGAGTGCACATGCCTGAACAATGATGACTTCACTGTTCTAGTCAGTGGGGCTGGTAGACATCATTGAGTGAGCATGTGTACTGTGTGGCCATCACATTCAAAATGACTAAATAGAACAACAAATTTGCATCAAATTTTGTGTTAAGTTAAACATTCCTGCACAGAAACTATTGGTATGATTCAAAAGGCTTTCAGAGACTATGTAGTGAGTGCAGTGCAAAGAAAAGTGTGGCACAAATGCTTCAAAGATGGTTGAGAATCTGTTGAAAGTGATCCATGTTCTGGAAGGCCTGCAACGAGTACAACACCTGAGAATGTTGAACGTGTATGGGCTGCAGTCAACAAAGATCAGTGACTGACAGTGTGAGAACTAGAAGCTGATCTGGGGATTCCAGAACTACTGTGTCCAAGATTTTGGTGAAGGATCTTGGCATGAAACATGTCCTGGCAAAATTCAGTCCACCACTTCTGCTATGAGAACAGAAAGAACATGGTGCTACGGTTGCTAATGACCTAATTCAAACTGCTATCAGTGAACCAGATTTCCTCAAGAAGGTCATAAGGAGAGATAAATTGTGGTCAATGGCTATGATCCAGAAATGAAGGCCCAGTTATCCCAATGGAAGTTGCCTGGTTCTTCACAACCAAAGAAGGTGTGGCAGAGTCACAGCAAGATCAAGACCATGTTAACTGTGTTTTGTTTGGAAAGGTATTGTTCATCCTGAGTATACGCCCCAGGCCAAACACTAAGGGGTACTACTTTAATGTTATCAGTTGAGAGATGCAATATGACAAAAACAAGCTATGGGCAACTGGTGACGGGCAGCTTCCTCATGACAACGTGCTCATTTATGCATCGTTTCTGGTGCAGAGTTTTTCAGCAGAACGTCAAATCATCAGCCCCACTACAGCCCACATTTGGTGCTCTTGACTTCTGGCTTTTCCCAAAACTAAAATCAACTTGCGGAAGAGATTTCAGACCATCGATGAGATTCAGGAAAATACCAGGGGGCAACTGATGGCAAATCCGCTGAAGGATTTTGCAGTGTTTTGAACAGTGGAAGAGACACTGGGAGCACTGTGTGAGGTACTACAGTGCCTACTTTGAAGGGGACTGAGTTGTCACTGTCCATGTACAATTTTTCTTGTATCTTGTATCTTCTTCAATGTCTCTTTTTTAACATTACATGGCTGTGTACTTTCTGTGCAGGCCTCATACGTGTACATGAAATTGAGCTAGGCATGGAATGAAAGCTGTTTTCCAAACACATAACAGAGTGTGGCAAGAGGAGATTTACAGTTACGATTACACAGAACATAAAGTTTATTCTTGTATTATTATTTATTATTATATTATTTTCCATATGAATAGCTATAAACTTACTGTAACCTGTCCCTGTATTTTTGATATGTGGTTGCATTACCTTCTGTTTGAACAAAACACTGGTGCTTTTTAGAGTTCCAGAATACCAACCCTAATATGATATAATAAAATAAACTAGAATTTTATTTGTAGAAATATATGGTCGTTAGCAACTTTAAAATAATTAAAATGTATTTTGACATCTTAAAAAAATGGGTGAATTCCTAAAAATGTACAGCCTCTGAAGACTGAATCATAAAGAAATGGAAAATCTAGACAGATGTATCACCAGTAAAAAGATCGAATCAGTAATTAGAAACCTTCCAACAAATAAAAGTCCATGACCAGATGGCCTCACTGGTGAACTCTCCCAAATATTTAAGAAGAAACGATACCATTTCTTCTTAAGCTTTTCCAAAGTAAAAAGAGGATGGAGTATTTTCAAACTCATTTTATAAGAGCACCATTACCCTGACACCTACGACAACCACTACAAAACTACTAGAACTAATAAGTAATTCAGTAAAGTTCCAGGATACAAAATTAATATACAAATATTTGTAGCATTTCTGTACTAGTAATGAATTGTCAAAGAAATCAAAAGCCCCATTTATAATTGCATCAAACAGAACGAAATACCTAGGCATAAATTTAACCAAATTGCTGTTATACACTGAAAATTGTAAGATAATGATGAAAGAAATTGAAGACACAGATAAATGGAAAGATACCATGCTCATGGATTGGAAGAACATTGTTAAAAAATGTTCATCCTACCCAAAGCAATCTACATATTCAATGCAATTCTATCAAAATCCCAGTGGAATTTTTCATAGAGGATAAAAAAAAATCCTAAAACATGTATTAGAAATCACAAGAGTCTTTGAGTACCTAAAGTAGTCTTGAGAAAGAACACAGCTGGAGGCATAATGCTTCCTAATATCAGACTGTATTACAAAGCTATAGTAATCAAAACTGTGTGGTATTGGCATAAAAACAGACACATAAATCAGTGGAGCAGAATAGTGAGCCTAGAAACAAACCAGCACATATATAGTCAATTAATTTGTGACAAAGGAGCCAAGAATATACACTAGGGAAAAAACAGTTTCTTCAGGAAGTGGTGTTGGAAAAACTGGACAGCCACATGCAAAGGAAAACTGAAACACTATCTTATACACAAAAATTAAATCAAAGTGATGAAAGATGTGAACATAAGACCTGAAATTATAAAACTCCTAGAAGAAAACAGGTAGTAAGCACCTTGACATCAGCCTTGGTGAAGATTTTTCAGATTGACACCAAAAGCAATAAGTAGGGCTATGTCAAACCAAAAGGCTTCCAAACAGCAAAGGAAAGCATTAACAAAATGAAAAATCAGCCTATGGAATGAGAAAATATTTGCAAAGCATCTGTCTGCCAAGGGGTTAACATCCAAAATATATAAAGAACCCAATACAACTAAATAGCATAAGTAAATAAGTAAATAAATAAATCTTAGAAAGCAATAAAAAATGGACAGAGAAACTGAATAGATATTTTCCAAAAAAGACATACATCTGGGTAACAGGTCCATGAAAAGGTGTTCAACATCACTAATCAAAAGGGAAATGTAAATCAGAACCACAGTGAACTATCAATTTATACCTGTGCCATTCATTAAAAAGACAAGAAATAACAAGGGTCGGCAGGAATATGGAGAAAAGGGAATCCTTGTACACTGTTATGTTGGTGGGAATGTAAATTAGTGCCTCCGCTATGGAAAAAATTACAGATGTTCTTAAAAACATTAAGTACCACATAATTCACCAAGCCCACCTTTAGGTATTCATCTGAAGAAAACAAAACATCAGTTCAAAAAGCTGTCTGCATGCCTGTGTTTATTACAGCACATTTACTGTAGCTAAGATATGCAGACAACTAGGGAACTAATTGGAGGAAAGGGCTGCAGTCACACAAGTGGCAGTTTGAATATTGGGTCCTCATGGCATGAGGTGAGCCTGGGATGGGGAAGGGAGGGTCTCAGTGCAGATCCTTTGAGCAGGCTGGGTAGTAGAGACCTTGAAAGCCAGACCAGTAATGTGTTATTATTGCAAAAGAGAGATTTAACAATTTTGTTTTAAATGAAGTAATACATATATACATAAAAAAACATAGATACATAAACACTCAACACTAATGTGAAGCTCATTGAATTTTTAGAAGTAAACATACTGATATATTCACCATTCAGATCATTTTGAGGTTCCCCAAAGCCCCATTATGCCCCTCCCACCACATACACACAGTAACCATTATTATGACTTATCGTCATTGATTAATTTTGATGGTTATCAAACTTTGTTTTCTAATCATCATTTGAATCATAGAGTGTATTGTCTTTTTGTACCTGGTGTTACTCGATTAACAGTATGTTAATGAAGCTCATCCATGTTATTGTGTGTAGCAATAGTGCTTTCATTCTTATTTCTGATTACATCAGCTCATTTTATGAATATACTAGAATTTATTACCTGGATTGTTGCCTAAACTAGAAGTTCTGCTATTAAAAGTCTTTATATGTTATATGTCAAGGGCACATCTACAGATTGGATTGCTGGGTCACAGAGCATGTGTGTGATTACCTTTACATACTGCCTGAGAATTTCCGGTTTTTGTACTCAGAAGTCTTTACTCAGTTACCTGAAAGCAGGAACATATCATTCACTTTTTGTAACCTCATAGCCATAAACTACCCTGTAGACTCTTGTACAATTTATAAAAATATTTTGAGAGAGGGGAAGGGAAAGAGAAAGAGGGAGAGAAACATCAATGTGTGGTTGCCTCTGGCACACTCCCAAGTGGGGACCTGGCCTTTAACCCAGACATGTGCCCTGGCTGGGAATTGAACGGGTGACCCTTTGGTTCACAGGCGCATACTCAGTCCACTGAGCTACCCCAGCCAGGGCCCTTGTACAATTTTTAATAAAGAAGAATGAGTGAGAAATGCTCATTAATGTGTGTATAGAAAAGGGAGTAAAAATACTGATCAGCAGCCAGCCAGCATTTTTTGATCAGCTACTAGACTGTAACCGAAATAGTAGGCCACTGTCAGGGAGCTCAGTGGTTGGGATGTAGAGCACTAGGAATATGAAAAAGGAGGGGACCTGGCATTTGGAGACTGAGGCAGGGACGAAGATTTAGGGGTTTTTTAAGGGTAACTTACATAGTTAAAGGTAGTTCACATTGGGTATTTTTAATTTAGAAGAAGTAGTTTCTCTTAATCTACAAGGAAAAATACAGTTATAGAGTCCAAATATTTTAAACAAATGAAACTGAGTTCAATATTTAAGGTCCACTTTTCCTAGCAGTATACTAATTTTAACTTGTTTTTTTCCTCTTCTCATCTTAGGCTCAAACACGTACGAAGAGGCAGCTGCATATATTCAATGTCAGTTTGAAGACCTCAATAAAAGAAAGGACACAAAAGAAATATACACCCACTTCACATGTGCCACAGATACTAAGAATGTGCAGTTTGTTTTTGATGCTGTAACAGATGTCATCATAAAAAATAATCTAAAAGATTGTGGTCTCTTCTAAGTTTTGCAGTGAATGGTTAAACGTATTTTCAAACCAAATGAGTACTTACATGTGGATCTCTTTAGACTAGAGTCTTGCAGCAACACAGAGTGTAGTTAGTATACAGCAAACACATCTGGACCTGACCAAATTTGTTCTGTTATGTTTTTTTTTAACTGAAAGTTAAAAAAACTTTAACTTTCAGTTAAAAAAAAAAAGACCTTTAAGTGTGAAAGGTGGTCCTGCAGTGTGAAACTAAGGGCAGTGTTAACGCTGGGCTCTAGTGTATTGAGGATTTCTGCGTAAGTGTAAATATGCAAATGTATGTATACATGTATTTATAACTTTGGTTTTCCACATTATGGGTTTCCACATTGCTTTTAGGTTGTAAGAGCGGCAGCTTACAATTCTAGTGTGATTGCTTTGGAAATAACAGAAATACTAAGTACTTTGTAGTCAGTGACAGACTATTACCGTGTTTTCCAGTTTTAAACGGTTTTATTTATGTTCATGCCCTGTAAGTTTTTAAATACAGTAATTAATATTAGGGAACATTGAAGCCCTTATCTTGATAATCTTGTAATCATAAAAATGTTATTTGTACAAACACTGCACAGACTATTTTAATAACATGATTTGTTCCTTAAATTTAATGCTTTATTGAAATATTCTTAAAGAGGATGAATATATCTGCCTTTGGATTATTTAAACATTGTATGTATTTTATTTTTTTCTTTTAAGATTGCATGCTAATCTGGTTCTGTGTTAGATTTGGTTTGAAAAACTAAAATTTTATATTTTGAGGATATACTATCTTAGACTTATAAATACCTAATTTTTATTCAGTTGGTTTGTTTTCACTTTGAATTTTAATATTTGGATGGTATTCAGGCATTGCCTTAAAGGTGGTGCCAGATTAATTTTTATACACTTTAAATAATTACCTTTTTATTTATAACTAAGTTTAGGTGGACAATGAGAGCATTTTTGGGTAAAAAATATGTCAGCATAATGAATTTTGAGACATTCATTTGTGTATTTCCTTTGGGAACTCCCTTGTACCTAGCATATATGATAGCTTTTTGTTTGGAAGATAATAAGAAAGATCTTTAAATGTTCTGCTGCTGATATAATGCAAGCTTTTAGTTCATATGTAACTAGTTTCAAATTTAATCATCACACTATATTAAAATTACTTTTTTCCTTCAGTTATTCAAATTTCCTCCTTGCTTGAGTTGATATTATTTCTTTTTAAATTTTGCTGTTATTTCTGAGAATGAAACAGGCAATTACACTTAGAAGATGAGTAACAGTATTTAATAAAGTCAGTGATTATATGTATGCTCACATAAGTGTTACCATCAGCTAGCTGTTGAACTTCAGTAGTCATTTTTCTTTTGATTATTCATGATGTCCTGTGACCTCGTTTCTGAAAATGAACATTATTCCCCACCCTACTTGCCTTTTTTCACTCATCTTGAAAAAGCCTGTCAGTGAGCTCTGTGGATAAGTAGTTTCTGAGTTGAGTTGTGTGCTGTCATTTTGTCGAAGTGTATTTGTTGAACTACGTGTACATGTGTGTGGGTGAGTGACCACAAAGTACATTTATATGTTTCATCTTGGAATTTGTTTTTCTTCTCTCTAATGTAAAGAAATTCAGAGTTATCAAAGTTCCTTAAGTGTGTTAGTTTAGATTCTTTATGTGCCTTTCATGAAAGATATGTTTTTATTAATTTTACCAATGGGAGAACTGTAATATCCATATTGTGAAGCTATGTATGAAATTCAAATATACTGAATAAATTTGAATCATGAGGAATACAGTTTGAAAAGCCACAAAGAAGCACATATTGGTGATCATAATTGATGAATTCCTAAACTTTATTCTGTGTAATTGTGTTACTAATAAATCCTAATAAATTTAAATTTTTAAAATTTTATAAACCTGTTGGCTAAACACACATTTTTGCATTCGGATTGAAGTATCAGCCTGTAATATGTACATTTGTTTTTTATCTGCTTTTTGCAATTTCATCTGTTCTAGAAGATTTTTTGCTGCCCCAACTTTTTTGATGAGACATGATGTCACATTTGGAATTGCCTGCCAGAATTCTCCTTCTCACCCCCGACTTTGCCATCTTACCTGCTCATACCTTCTATCATTCATTTATTCGCTCACTGTGGAGCTTTTTAGCTGTAGGGAACGCTATCTCTTAGCCCTCATCTCTATCTCTAATCAGCCACCATTGCTCACAGTTCTACTCTCCCACTGCCTGATGTCTGGTTGACTAGTTGATTGGTTTATTTTTTTCTTCCTATCCCCATGACCACCTACTGAGTTCAGGTCCTTGCATAACTTTGACTTGAATGGCTTCCTAAGGATAGCCCCACCTCCCATTGCTCCCTTCACTAATCCAGGTTAGTTATTCTAATACAGAATTGTGCCTGTGTATCTTCTGTGTGTTAACCTGCATAGGCTCTGATTGTCAAAATCAAATCTAACTTAGTCTCCCATTTAAGGCCCTTCATCACCCGGGCCTATAATACCCACTCTTATCCTACATTCAAATAGTGCTTTGGCTGTGGGGGGCTTTGCCCACAGAGTTCCCCTGGACTCCACAGATGAGAGTAAGTCTACCAAGACATGATCTGCTTGGGGAGGAAAGGCTGACCAGTCTCTCAGAGGAGAAAGGTGTCAAACCTCTCTCAGGTTTTTATCGAGTTTAGCTTGCTTAGGGATGCACATCAAAGAAAGGTGTGGTTTACAGATAACATTTCTGGGATTATGGGGGTCCTTTTGAGTAAGGGTCTCGTAGATGGTGATGCCAATCAGCTGTAAAGCCTTGGGAAACGAACTTCTTTTGTACTGGGACCCTTAACATTAAAATTAAGTATGTTCTTAGCAAAGCAGGTTTCACAGGGCTTTATGCATTCTTTCTTAGGCCTGATCACTCCTCCCCGCCAGGAACCACCATTCCACCACAGGACTGCATCCCCTTCAGCATTGTTTCAGGCCTGAATCAGGCAGGGGAGACAGCAGCCAAGAGATTAGGAGAGTTTTTACAGATAGAATGAGAACTCAGGCTATGACAAAGCCCAGGGGTGAGGGTCTTTTGTCCCTCCTCCACAATCCTGTAAGTCCTTCACTGACGACCCCTTCGTGACTGTGCCTGTCTTAGGTTGTTTCTTCCTTGAGGAATATTACCCATCATTGACTATCCAGCCACCCTCCAGGGGCCAAGCAGGGTGAAGTAAAGGGGGCAGAGGCTGTGCCCCTCCTGGGAAAGTAAGTTTTATATCCTTAGTGGCTTATGGTCCTAAGGTCCCCTAGCTGTGGGGCCTTTTTACCTGTTGGTGAGTTTGCAGCTCCTGAAACCAGGCAGGACGGTTCCCAACACATAGCCTGGGCCTTCTTCCAAGCATTATACTATATACCACCTGATACAGTAAAACAATGCCCAGAACATGGGGGGAATATACATTTGTTTATTATTATTTTTTGTATTAGCACTTTCTTATGTCTTTTTTTAAAACTTTTTTTTTTAAGATTTTATTTATCTTTAGAGAGGAAGGGAAGGAGAGAAGGAGAGAAACATCAATATATGGTTGCCTCTCGTGAGTCCCCTGCCGGGAACTGGCCTGCAACCCAGGCATGTGCCCTGACTGGGAATTGAACCACGATTGTGTGGTTCGCAGGCCCGCACTCAATCCACTGAACTATGCTGTTATGTCTTTTTTAGACTCAAATGGTATCCGTCCTTTAGTCTGCCCCTTTGGGAACTGCACACTTCTGGTTGCCTGTCAGTTCTCACCTTCCTGTCCACAGGCTCGGTCCTGACCACTCCTGTACTTTTGTCACTGGGCAAGTGACCCACACAGAAGCAATCATAGTCTCCATTCCTATTCCTAAGGTTCATAAAGCCATTCTGGTTTCTAAAATTGCCTTAATTTTAGTACTGGTTTTACAAAACTTTTATGCTTGATGTCATTGTCTAGGTCCATCTCTTACTGAAAAGTCCTGGCTAAAATGCGTATATTCTTACTGAAAACCAATAGTAACTGTGAGATAGTTCAGAAAAGGCTCAGAGGAGATAATTTGCTGGAACAGGATAAGATCGAGGTTTCAAACCTATGGCTTGTGACTTCTTGTCTGTTGCAAAACTCCAAAGAATGTTACTTTAATCCCAGGAAATGTCTAACATAGCCATTTAACTACCCCAGCTCCCAGTTTCACAGTTTATCTGAACCATAATACTTTCTTTAGAGTACAGTTAACCTTTGAACAATGTGGGTTTGAACTGCAGGTGTCTACTAATGGATTTTTTTTTCCAATAAATACTATTAAGTGCATTTTCCTTATGACTTCCTTACTATTTTCCCTAGCATACTTTCTTGTAAGAATATAGTATAATACACATGAAATACAAAATATGGGTTAATTACCTATTTGTATTACCATTAAGACTTCTGGTCAAAAGTAGGAATTTAGTAGTTAAGTTTTGGGAGAGTCAAAATTTATACGTGGACACTTGACTGCACAGGGGGTGGTGTGGGCAGGTAACTGGAAGCCCCGCATTATGTTATTCAGGGTCAACTATAAAAGTAACGATAGTACAAAGCTGGAGGCATCAAGCTCCCTGATTTCCAACTATACTGCAAGTCTATAGTAATCAAAACAGTACAGTATTGGTATAAATTCAGACATATACATCAATGGGACAGAATAGAGAACCCAGAAATAAACCTACACATATATGGTAATTAGTTTATGACAAAGGAGTCAACAACATAAAATGGGGAAAGGAATGCCTCTTCAATAAATGCTATTGGGGAAACGACCATTATCTTACACACAAAAATTAAAAGATTAAAAATTAATCCAAATGAATTAAAGATTAGAACAGAGACCTAAAGCCATAAAACTCTTAGAAGAAACCATAGGTCATAAGCACCTTGACAGCTTTGGTGATGGCTCTTCTTAGAATGACACTTAAAGCAAAAGCAATAAAAGCAGAATAAACAGCAGGACCACATTAAACAGAATTCTGTACAGTATGGGAAATCTTCAACAAATGTAAAGGCAAAATACAAAATAGACAATATTTGCAAACCATGTATCTGCTATGGGGTTAATATCCAAAATATGAAAATAATTCATAAAACTCATAGCAAGGATTTTTAAATGGTCAGTG